TGTATGTATGTATGTATGTATGTATGTATGTATTGTATGTATTTACGATATTTAGACAGGCCAGCCCAGTTCAGCTTGAAGCTGGTTTAAAGGGAGGCTGTACATCCCACCATCCCACCCCAGGGGAGGACATCCATCACACAGTAATCTCGTGTGTGGGAAATTAACGTCTCCTACCCCAACCCTGCAGGAGACGGGACCTCCATTTATTCGTCCCTATCCGAGAAGACTAGAATATCTAACCATTTCTTGATGTTATAGAAAGGTAGCAAATTCTTCTCAATTACTTTAAGACCTTGAGTGTTGGTCCGGCCGGGGCTCGAACCCTCGACCTCCCGCACAACAGTCCAGCGCTCTATCCATTGAGCTAACCGGGAGGCGGTATTCCTTTAGATCACTCTCTACAGTCGGCACTAACCACTGCTTGATGAGAAAAAGACAGTGTCTGCAGTGACATTATGACTTTTAGTCATCTCACGTAGCGGGGAAGAGAAAATGTTAAAAAAAAAACGTTTGGCCACAGTAAAGCTTCCCCAATGACAGTTCCCGTTACGAGTACAAGTCTAGCTTAAGATTGGAACCGTGATTTCCTCGCGCTAAACTTTATCGTCATCATGCTCGTCATCGTCATCCTCAAAGTCATCTGCGATGTCATCTATAACGCCACCAAACTTTTCATTGAACATTTTCTCGAAAACATCCATTGAGTCGGCGTCAATGAGGACAAAACGAATATCGTTAAGTAAGCCTCTTGAATTTGCTCTCTCTTTTTCTCCATCGGTAGTTTTGCTTGGCGTCTCGTTTGGCGGCTTGGTCGATGTTTTCTTTTTATCTGTTTCTTTGTGTTTCTGGTTGCTTTCTTTTGACCATTTTTTCTTCGTACCTTTTTTCTTTGTTACTGTCGGCATTGTGAGATACTCCTCCACTGCGTTTAACATGGCAAAGGCGCATACGTCAATAGGGGCACCAAAGATGCCGGAACTGATAGCTGGTATAGCAATGGATGATAAACCAAGTTCAGACGCCAGCTTAAGACTCTGGAGGCACGCCTTCTTTAAAAGTTTTATATTATCTGTAGGTGAGTGTTTAGCCCACGTGGGACCAACTGCATGAATGACAAACTTACAGGGAAGATTTCCTGCAACTGTATGCACTGCGTCTCCAATGTGTAGCACTTGAAAGCCGTGTTTTCGTCTTAAAGTGTCAGATTCTCTTTGGATTTCAGGTCCACCTCTTTGGACAATCAGCTTTGCAAGGCCAGCTCCGTGGGACAAAAATTCGTTCGCAGGATTCACGATCGCATCGACTTCCTCGGCAGTGATGTCTCCATAACGAAGGGAGATACAGACACCATTTTCTGTTCGATAACTAGAGTTTTCAAAGGAAACTATTTCCGGTGCTGCCATTGCCATTGCTTGAGCAGCAAGGCCAGTATCATAGCTTTCCTGTTGACTTATTCCTCCTTTTACAGTTCGTCTGGCTTCTCCTACAGATGCAGCATCGCCATACACAAAAAACGGACCGTGTTCTTGGGGCCGGTCTATGATCACTGGGTAATTGGTCGCAATGTATTCCATTAAAGCGTTTGCTGAATCCTTGTCCACACCGTTTAAGTCCAGCTCACAAGTAGCCATACCCTGGGTGACAGTTTCGATAAGTTCTGATAACTCGCTGCAAGCGGCGTTGTACCTTGCAGGTTCACAGTTTTGTTTAGGCTGAAGAATAACTCGAGTACCCTCAGATGAAGCCGTAACTTCCAAAAGACATTCTCCATTGATTTCATCTAGCTTCTCTTTGAAAAACGTCTCCATAAAACGTAATGCATATGGATCTACTTGAAACCATCGTGCCTCTATTGTGGGATGTACACGTCCATCCTGGCTGTCGCTGTTGACTTCGTTGACTGGGATAACCTTGGTTCCAGGACTTTCATAGATTCTCGTAGCTACGATAACGTCAGATCTTCCAGGCGTTGTTAACGCCTTTCCTGCTCCACCATTCTCTACTTCTGCGCCTTTCTTCGCCAAAGAAAGATTGTTCAGTTGCACATCAATACGTTGACCTTCGCTTAAATACTTCATCACAAGAAGTTGGCACTCATTGATTCCCTTCAGCTTTCCAGTTAAAACAAACAATTTGTTATCGCAATAGAAAGACACATCAATGTCTTGTTTGACTTTTTCCAAAATCTGTCTTGCTTCCTGTGGTGATATACCCAACTCAATGGGATCCAACGTTGCCGTCACGTGAGTAAATATCTGCAGAAAATGATTACGGAATCAATAGCAGTTTAACCTGCAACCAGCGTATGTTCAGAATAAGATGCCTTAAGAGAATAAAGGGGGGAAGTTTCTAGAGAAACTGTGGTGCTGTGTCGGTGGGGGTAACAAGGTAATTTGGTAATATCAACTACGTTGAATTGTAAATTGGCCACCGTAAAGAGTTAAAAAGCTGACGTTTCGAGCGTTAGCCCTTCGTCAGAGCGTCTTCGTTCTAACGAAGGCCTAACGCTCGAAGAGTCAGCTTTT